TGAAACTGACGCGAAGTGATTGCGATGAGAAGCACGCGTTGGTGTCGGAGCTGAGGGCACAGGTGTCGGAGTTGAAGCAGAGGCTGTCGTCGGAGGTCAGGGATCAGGAGATGACCAAAGGTATGGGCGCTGTTGATAGGGGTGTGAAAGGGTTGGCTATAGTTGTTGTCGTTTTGTGGTTAGTCTTATGGTACAGAATATTCTGTAGTCTCTCTCTCTCTCTCTCTCTCTCTCTCTCTCTCTCTCTAATGTTAAAATAGTTTTAATTAAAATATAAACAAAATAATAGTTAAACTATTTGCGAGTTAAATAAATTTTAACTAATATATTTAGATATTATTTGTAGTCAGCCTACTACAATAAAAAATATTTGCTAAATTAAATACTATAAAAAATATCTGCCAATGATTCTAATGTTTTTCATATTTTTTATGTAATTTATTTTTTTACTCTTAATTATGATTGTATTAACAAAGTATAGAAACAAATTTAATGTTTTTGATTATTTTTTAAAATTTTGTTGATTTTTTGAATTTTATATTTTGAGATTTTTTTGGATTTTAGTTTTTTATTGAAATAATATTAAGATTTATAACTGAAATAATACCGAAAACCGAACCATTATTTGTATTGTATTCAAATATAATGAACTGGATCATTGACAGACTTATTAAATATTGAGAGACTTTTTTTTATATTTAATAAAACATTTCTAAAAATATTAATTTACAGTTTATTTTATTTACCAAACAATCAGTATAGTTGACCCATTTATCATACTCACTGTATCGCTATAGTATTACTCATGAATATAATCAGTACAGGGTGTCTATTATAATAAACACAGAATTCAATATTTAATTAATTAATTCAAAAAACTACAGTCAACTCACGCTATAGTAAACATACAATTAATTCACATTAACTATAATTACAGGCAATCTTGAGTACAAACTACAGGACGTGGAAAAGGAGCTCCAACTCCGCGAACAGGAACTCCTAACCCAAAAGCAAGAGCACCGGGACCTCAAAGACCAGAAGTTTGAGTTGGAGTTGGAAAGGGATCGCTACCGACGCGACTCCGAGCGCCTGGAGAAGGCCTGTACGGACAAACAGGATGTGATAGACTCGCTCCGGGAGGACGTGAAGCAAATGAGGGACGAGTTCGACAAATACCGGTGCGATTTGGAGAAGAAGTTGGCCGACACGGCCGAG